AATCTACGTATTTTTCAATGTTATGAAGATAACTTCTGTTAGAAGATGTTCTGTACCTTCATTGGAGCTGGAGAGTTCTTATTCGTAAAGTAAACGTTTGTTCATATTAGACTTTTATATACTTTTAAGATGATTTTAAAGAATATTATGCTTTTTTTTCTAATTTTGAATCTATAATACAAGAGAAAGAAAACTCAATTTACTGTTATTATATTTCTGATTTGACGTTTTGTAACTATTATGAAGCAATTGAATGATTCCAATGAAATGAAATTTCCGGTAAAGAGGATAAGCTTGCAATAAAACAATCATTCTCCATGGACCGTATATAATTCCATTATTTGCATCGAATGAAATCTGGCGATTGTGTTTTAATCCAGTTTGAGCCGAAAACTCGCAATCAAATTCACCGACAGTGAAAGCCTTTAATTAAATTCCTGGAAAGACTTGCGGGAACCACACCTGTCGAACTTGTGGTTGGCCAATTGGTGTTACTACTCCGATGCATTTAATTGGCTCCGAAAATAGTAGGTGAGGCAAGCTCTGTGGAATTCGGATATTACGAAAGTTTCTTTGCTATCTGAAAAGAAAGAATTATTTTGCCCATTAATATTTGTGATTAGCGAGATACTTAGCTGACGAAATGCAATAAGTTTCAAATCAAGCAAACAAATCTATAAATGTCAATGATATTCTGTTTATGTATAATCTCGTTTTTTTTGCAGCTTTACGAGAGAAAAAATTTTAATGCCATTGCAATCTTGAAAATGAGAAATTCTATTGTAGTGAATATGTTTTATTTCGTTTTACCCAAAAAGATTTATTTAATTAAGAAATGTCATAGTCATCTATAATGCTCATACAGCAAGCTGTTTGGAGTTCTCTTCAATTATTTCGTATATCCTCAGCTCCTGCAATAGTGCATGACTAATGGCATCCGTTAACGCGCGCTGTCACTGTTCCATCTCAGTAAAAGCATCAATCACACTGCCCCCGCTTTGAAGGATTTTCGGTCAGTCCCTGTCAGATTAGCGATAATAATGGTTCATGAGCAATTAACGTGGCATATTAATTACTTATAAGCCACTGACAGTTACGACTGTCTTCCTCTGCTACCAAACTACCCATCAAGATTACTTCTCTCCGAAATGGAGGGATTGACAGAAATTTACGCGTCATAATCAGGAACCAGAAGCTTAACTCAAAATTTCTCAAAGTTATATATGTATTTACATTGTACATATATTATTTTTACTTTTGATAATCACCTGATTGAAATTATTTCATACTTTCCCATTGCCTTAAATTTCGTTTGGATCCCTACCGCAAGTTTTATTTTCATCTAGTTTACAGTGGGTGGCTAAAACCCTTCGAAATGATGAAAAATACGAACCAAGCTTAATAACCTCGAGTTTGAAGAAAATGTTCTGAAAATTTTCAAAATTGCTGGAAATGGTGAAAACTTGTCTCGATGGAAGTGAAAACAGGGTTCTAAATTCCAAATTCTCTAGCAAAGTAATGGAGGAGAAAATCAGTACAAACATGTGCTTCAAACCCGCCTGCTGTCTCAGATTAGAGATTGGTTTCCTCAAACCTTGCATTTTATGCATGTCGGAGCTACATGCCATGATGCCAATTCTGTTAAGAAATACGTGAAGGAAAATAACGACATTGTCTTGGCCTGGCAATAGCTCAGACTGAAAACTAATTGAAACTTAATGGGGAATTATTATCACAAGGTTGAAGAAAACTATAACAACCAGAATTGGTCTCATCGTAAACATTGTAGACATAGGGTTTCGTGATGAACAAATTCCGAAAATGAGCAAGGACCTTGTAGAAAGCATGCCAGATAGAATACAAATGGGTATAAAGAACAAGGGAATGCACCCCAAGCACTAAAGAAGGCATCGTATATTGATACCTTGTGACAGTAATATTTCAAAAGTAAATTGCTGTTAGATTTTTTCAATTATTCTAATACTTCGCACCCGATGAGATATTCTTGGACATTCTATTAATTTTATCCTATTTCGGTACTTATCGATACTACCAATGCCACCTACATTTTAACCCTTGGCCATGGTAGCCATCTTTGTGACGTCACTTTTAGAAGGCTTATGTACCTCAATCTTATACCGTTTACGTTTTCTGTGTACATCGTGGTTTGCTTATTTGCATAATTAATTCACGATTCGCTCTCGCAGCAACAATTAGAAGTACTATTAATAGTTGCTTGATACCGATGACGATTGTTTCTTATGAGTGTACTGAAAACATTCATTTAACGTTTTTCCGAGATCTACAAGTGATGTTTACCAAATTGTAGAGGTATGTGGGTGTACAGAAAAGAGAGAAGACTTCTTGTTAGGTTTTGTTTGTGTTTTAATTGTACCAATATTTTCATTATCAGCAGGGATTCGGTGAAACGTCGAAGTCAGCGCGTTCAGTCACATAGATATTTCTCCGGTAAAAAGTTTTTGCATATTTTTGTGACTATCACGAAAATCAAAAAGCCAGCTTTCAATGAAAATTGAATAATTACTTTCAATATTTTTAAAGAACTGTTATGAATTGTTCCAAGAAATCTCTCCGTAGTACTGACAAAATCTTTATTGAAAATTTGTTTCCAATATCAATTGCAGTGTGTATTTTTGTTTCATATTGTGTTAGTAAATTGAAAAGTTACCTTTATATTGTTAAACAAATATACGTTTCGGTAATAACGTTCCCTTTTAGAATGGAAATAGAAGGATGTGGAGAGTTTGGAGATTAAAAAGCGTGAGTTCTCGCACGGGTATACGCACGTAGTAGAGGAAAACTTGTGCTGTGGCAAAACGCAAGGAACAAACTTTTCAAATTAAGTAAAGTAAAATAGCTTGAAATAAATGAATAGCAAAAATAAAAACACGCTAGCCTATAACCTACCCTACATAAATTAATTTTAAAAAATCAACAAAATTTAAAACTATTGAAGGAAAAGCGCAAGTCACTAAAACTTTCAATAATCACAATCCAGACGCACGTTTTAAATAGTGGTATCTGGAAGTGGCGGTATCTTGAAGTCTGACTACAATGCCCAGCTGTAAACATATACTTAAAGTAATACACCATTTGATAATAAACTTAAGGTGTCGGTTCGCTAAAATGTTCAATACGAAAACATCGAAATATTTACATGGTTTTGTCAAGAGTAAAAAACCTTTTCTAATACTTTTGTTACCATCAAGGAAAGCGAACAGCTAACCGTCAACAAAGATTGAATAAGTACATCAAATTTTGTTTTTAAGGAAGTGTAAATTGTTTGAAGAACATACTCTCTCTGTAATACTGAATAAACCTTTATTGAATGTTTGTTTCCAACATCAACTGTATTGTGTTTATTTTTGTTTGATATTGTGTTGGTACATTCATACATTTTTTAACAAATAAACACGTTTAGTTCACAATTTTCCTTCTTAATGGGAAGGATACAGAAAGGGTGGGGAGTAATATGCGATAGTTCTCGCACGAGTACGCTAGTTTAACAAAAGAGAAGTGTATTTTGAATGCGGTTGTGAATCGATTTTAAAGCCTATGTTTATTGAAAAATGTACGGTTTACAGATTGCTCTCATTTGTCAGGAAATAGTATACTATTATTAAATGGTAAACACAGATTTTCAATTTGCGACCTGCACATAGTACAACGCGTTATACACCGACACAAAAGCGCTATTTATTGCAGAATATTTACAAAGCGCCAAACTACATCGGTGACAACTCAGCGACGCATGACGTCGTCAAATTTGCACTAAACTATTTGGGGCAACCTGCCACTGAGAAGGAATTTGTAATGGGTGACAGTATCTAGAGACAAGTGTTTGGCCATTAACGTCGATGCAGTCGCCGAAAGCCCCTCGTGAATATTCTATCGACTTGGAATTGCGGCGGGGAGGTCTGCTAATGCGGCGCTGTTTACTGAATTGCTCACTTTACTGCTCGTTGCCGCCTCCGAAGCTTTGCTGAAAGGCAAGGAAATGGGAGTGCTCAGAAAGGCGGGACCCTCTTGACAGTTATTGTTCACACAGAATTTCTTATGGAATTGCGTTTTCACAAGGAGTTTCTCTATTAATATTCACTAGTTGTTCTAACACAAATTCTTATGTTCACGAGGTAGATTCGCAATAAAACTGTATTGGAAATGAGAATGTAGATTTCACGAAAAAAGGGATGAAATCTCTTGTTAACAAATTATAAGTAGACGATACGTTTAAATGTTATTGATTTCATAATATTGATTAAACATGATATCACATTTTGCGACAGTAAATAAGTTTTATTTACTTCAGTAAATTCTGCACGAAAGTCTCTGTAGAATTCCTTTTTTCATATCACATTTGTAAACTGTTTATTTAATGATTTTTCTGTGCTCAATGCCTTTCCACATTTTACCAAAATTATAGCCTGCCCTGAGAGCTATGTACTTACAGCGGGCCCTGGCGCAATGAAACTACCATTGTGCCTTACTTTGTGAAAACCGAAGGGGTGAATGGCATGGGCGATGAACAGTTTGAAGAATTCTAGTAGTCCGTGGGCCGCACCTTTTCTCGAATTGCACGTTTTCTGGCGCCATTCTCACCAATTTCGGCTTCGTGGAGTGTAAGTTAGCTTTGGCTCTCACCTGAAGATGCGGATCAGTTATACCACGTGTCGTTACGAACGTGTTTGGATTTTGAAACTTCAATCGTAAATCAGCTCCAACTTGTTTTTTTAAAGTAACACCATTTACTTTATATGATTAGGTAGTTGGCATTACGATATTCAAAAATTGAGAATTGAATAAAGTATATGAAACCAAGAATGTGATAGAAAAAAAAGAAAAAGACTGTGAAAGAGAAACACGTAGTATGAGCGTGAAGCATTCCACGTGCTTACATCTTTCACATCATAAAATCCATGCATTTTCTTGTCAAATTTCTACAAATAATTTATCATTAATTTTGTAAATAGAATAATTACCTCGTATTTAAAGACATTGTGGTGTGGTTTTATATGAAATTATAACAGATTCCATTCTTTCTCCTCTGTTCACGGGAGCGTCTTGTTTATCAGGCTCCCTCTAATGAAATAGAGCGATGCACTGCAATGCACTCTGGTGAATATTCCAAGCGGTGCGTTCAGGTCGATCGAGATATCGAACCTACTACGCTGATCTTTTCAATACTACGCATAGTGTTGGCGCTGTCAAACAGTGCGCAAATCAGTTGTTTTCTTTATTTGAGTGGACGACGAAGTATTTCAGGAATGTAAATACGGTGTGATGTGAACGGTTACAATAATCATTGTTACAGATATTGTTATTAAATGTTATGTCAATAAAGATGTCCTATAATGCTATGTCTATTCTTGTTAATATATCTTATGTCAATGCCACGCTAATAACTCTTTAATTATGTTTCGGACGTATAGAGGAAAAGAGAAAACAGTTTATAAGCCATGATTTTTTTTCTCACCTTTTCTTAATGAAAAGAGAAACTAATATAATAGTGCGTCAGAAAACTGCATATTTCAGACCGAAAAACTCTGGTAACTAAAAATTCAATTAATCTTGCTTTTAGCAATTACTTCCTCTAACACATTGTGTAGTGAGAATTCAAGTTTCTGAGTCATTTATACCGAAAAGTCAATTGACAAAAAAACCTCTGTCTATCTGTCCGTCTGTGGTCAAGGATAGCGTCTAAACCATTCAGCCGATTTTCTTCTCGACCGATCGAAAGAAATTCATGGCTCTGCGAGTTTGAAAATGATATTTTAATTTTGGGGTACACTTCATTGAGCCTTATTTACATTTTCAAAATTTTCTCAAACATGGCTCCAAGTTGAAAGAATGGTCCCCGTCTAATTTTAAGTTTAAATCATTGATTTTTGAAACGCATTGAAATGCACTAATTCACGGTAATAGCGCCTTGACGACCTTGGTCGAGAGGTTATGCGAAAAGATGGGAGTTCTCTGAATAGAATAGACTTTGACGTCGTTTCTTATCTGATAAGACAATTTTCAATCATTTTTGTACAAGTAGTCTAAACTAAAGTAAAATAGTGAACATCCGTTTCATTCACACCTCAGAATTGTGCAGCCCACCTTCACTGGCACCGAAAAAGGGACATCTAGGCGGCAAAAAGGCGTAACGATGTGTTTAATGAAGAGCCTCGTTTCGGCCTTGGAACTAAGAAGATGAGAGTGTAAAAGGGCATAAGAATAATGCATTCATTCAACTAAACATTCATAGACTTATGATGTTGATGCATTTCAGCCATCGACGCGGCGTCACCCGGCCAGCCCAGATCATGTCTCTGGCCGCGAAAGCTTACATCATTCCTAGACTTATTTTCGTATATCTCAAAATGTAGTAAAGAAACGATCTTTGTGGATACTTTTTAAATGATTATTGGTGTGGTGTTTTAACTGAATTAGAGAATGTGATGTATCGCCGTTGCAATCACATTCGAATTGTATGACGAACCGCCAATGCCAGCTACGGAAAACGTATTGTTGTCCATGACTTAAGCAGCAATAAGGTCAGTTTTCTAATTGATAAGGTTTTCAGATTGGAGGAAATGAACATAGTGTGCAGTAAGTAGGCAAAAGTGATGAAAGAGATTTTCAAGAGGTTACTGAAAGAGGAGTGTACATGGGATATTATTGTTGATAGAAATTTACTAAACAGTTACAAATATTATAACAGTTGTCACTTTTTATTTGACTTTCTTAGGTTAATGTTTAAAATAAGATAGGTAGTTGCAGAATATGTATTCACAGTTATGCTCTGTAGATATTAGATCAGGAAATACGAGAATTTAGTGTATGTTGTAGGTTTCAATGCTCAATTCTAATAACAAGTCCCTATTACATCTCGCCATACTTCCTGAAATGACGCAAGGTGATTAATATCGGGGACAGAGAAAACGGATAAATGCGAACTTCAATTTGCATTTGTGTTACTGTTTTGACTTGTTGACTGTTTTGTGTTACTGACGCTTTACTTAAAAAGATTCTTCCTTGAGGATGCTTTCATGTCAATTAAATACCCCTCAACACTATTAACAAGCATATGTTTCATACAATAATGTTTGCATTTTGTTAGAAGCTCTATATTAAAGTACGAAAAATAATTTAATAGTTTTATTTTTTTAAATCACATTATTCGATGTCCAAGCTCTGCAATTTTATCTTGTAAGAAGAATTATTATCGCTCATAGAACTTAGATTTTTCAGGGAATAATTTAGCAAGAGCAAGCGCGAAAACGTGTTATAAATTATAAAGACTTTCGAAGAGAGCATCTTTTGGGTTCGTTTGAGGAATGCTAATTTTAAAGGATGCAGTAAAAGAATATCAAAAGAATACTGTAAAAAGGGATTTTTTAAAATCGGATTTATGCTTTGTATTTGTTCTGATAGTTTTCAACCAGTAAGTATCAGCTTGTTTATGACAATTAATGAAAGTCAAATGTTGAAGAAATATGAATTATAAAACCACAGTAGAACGAATTTTAAAGATACATGATTTCAGGCAAATGGGCAGACAAACCAATAAATGTTTAGGGGAAGAAATCAGTAAACTATTGAAGATCAGAACGAAAGCGGAGAAAATGCTTCCCACGTCATTAATCTCATTGGGTCTAGCAATTTCAAAAAGGCCTCTTCCTATTCGGTTTTCATCGGGTCCATAATGACTCAACAACACGAGACAATAGAAAACATTTAGTTGTGCGAACCATTTTATTCTATCATTCGTAGTGGCGTAACCACAATTTGTCAGTAGCAACTGTACAGTCTGCAATTTGAACTGCGCGCAGCCATTCGCTGTTTACACGGAAGTTTATTCTACAATGTAAAACCTGCGCGGCGGCGGCCGGTGTTGACATCATTGTTCCGCCGCCCCCTCCCCCCGGCGAGCGGCAGGTTTGTTCATAGACGAATATACGCGGCGGGCAGCCCTTCCGCGGCCGCAAACGGGCGGGCGGCGGCGCTGCGGCGGCGGCGGGGCGGGGCCGGGGGCGGGGGCGGCGGGTGCGGTAATTTGTTTGGCGGCACCTGGACACCGGATCTGTGCCATTGAGCGCGGTCAGGCCGCGGGCTATGAAGCATAAAGCAACAGCGCCCGCCACCCCTCCCCACCGCACCCCGCGTTGGGGCCGGGCGTCCCGCAGCAGCTCCCCCCCCCTCCCGCACGAAGCTGCGTCTGTGCCAACTCTCCCCACCACACTACCACGCCGGTCCATCCGCGCTGCCTTGCTCTTCACTGCCATTCGCGGCCGCACTTCTGCTAGTCGCGCCACGCCCTCTTGATGTTGTCATTTAAACAGGTGGGTACGATAAATGTTACAAACTTCTAGAGAATGAATGGGAGTTGAAGATGATAACATTTTTGTCATATTTGCCACAGATTCGTTGCCGACGCATTTCTCGTTGGTACCTTGCTAATACATGAACGATCTTGAGTGCGTCATAACGTGTACCTGCCCAACCGCACTCCAAGAAGAGTTGTAAACTAATTAGGAGTAATGTCTCATGTACAACGTTGTTGTACGAAATTACCACCATATGTACGTTATCAAAATTGATACTCCTCAACTCTATTCTTACCCAGAAGTTTATAACATTTATTCTGAGACGATGTGCTAGTTGACCATTGATCTCTTCCCTATCCACTAGCATCTACTGTAACAGATCATATTCTTTACAGAAGCTAGAGGAGTTGGGGAGACTCAAATTTGGTGCAGTTCCCCACGGCTATCTGAAATCATTTGTTTATAGAGCATCCTACAGCAGTTGAGAGTTCGTGATGGAGTATTCACGCAACAATCCTGGCCATCTTTGTGGTTTGACGAAGTATATTATTATTGGGTATAGATCCGGGACCAGGGAAATATTCGAAAGGTTCCATTTTACTCCTTCGCTCATTAGCAAACACGTTTCACGGAACACGTAAATCAAAGCAATAAATAAATTAATACATAAATAAATACGTAAATAAATAAATACATATATAAATAAATACATATATAAATAAATACATATATAAATAAATACATAAATAAATAAAAAGAGTTCTGAGATCTAAAAAATGACTGGATGTGTTCATGTAATAAAGATGTAGTTGAGTTTGTTGTTGAACAATTTTAGAAAATGTCCACAAATTGTGATTAAATATGTATGAAATGGGAAATATTTTGAACTCTGTGAGTCATACGTATGGGTTGACATTATTTCAATGAAGATTCTCGGCGTTGAAAATAAAGTAACGTAAATGGAAAAACTGAATGTAAGATTATTGAATTTTTACGGCTCACGTTTCTATTTAACGATCAAGGGGGAATATCTAAACCTCTTCCCAAATCAAGTGAAGAACACGATTACTCTGAAGCAGCTTCTCCGAAGCGCATCCCTCATCCCCCACGGACCAAGAGCAAGTCATCGAGTTAGCTCCAGGTTATTAAGAGGCAAATTTTAATACCTCTGCTTCCGCTGCACGTGGTGCATTCATCCCTGGTGGAAATTGTGGAAGCACGCGAAATATATGAATGCTGCTTGCTTCCCGCCCACTAACTTTCAGTGTGGGGGGGGAAAATGTCTCTATACCACAGCCGGTTGAACAAAGATTTTTTCTAGATTCATGTCCTAATTCATCCTATGTTTGATTGAATATTTTCAACATTTGCTTGAACATATTAAAAAAAATTAATTCCTCTCGAAGAATCTTCATAAAAATATTCAACATTCAATGAACTAAATTTGGTGAGTATTTATATTTTAACCTCATGAAAAAATGACGTTTCAAAAATATTGATGATATTAAATTTTCTTAGTTAACGGTGCTATCTTTAACAGCTCTTCATTAATGTATATATTGTTGGTTAGAAATGAAGTCCTTGGGCACTAAGGTGTTCCATCTAAATGACCAGATGTATTACGATCTCGTTCTCAAGGGAACATCACATCATATCATTTCTAAAAGCGGCCAATTATGTCTTTAGAGATTTTTTCATTATTTTGAGAATGTCATTCT